TTTCACTTGCTGCTCAGCTCTGTGTTGGGGGGGTTATAGAGACAGATCTGAACTCTTCCAGGAAGCCTACTCAGGCTGAACTGGAGGTGAAGGGCGTAAGCTGCACCAGGGACTTTCATATTGGGTATTAGAGAAAATGCTTCCCCTCGAGTGTAACAAAGGTCTGAGTCCCAGAGAAGCTACAGCATCTCCATCATCATCATCAGAAATGCTCAACCCTGGACCACTTAAGTCCTGAACAATCCAGTCTAGATGGCTCTGCTTTAATCAGGCATGGACCAGAAATGTCCAGGATCCCCTTCCCACCTCTGCTACCTAGAGAGGCTGCGGAGATACTGGAGGGTGAAAAGGGCTCATTTCTTGAAGTGTGCTAGCTGACTCTGAGCTCAAATTTGGTCCAGGAAATGGCTTGCTTGGAAACTCTGCAAGCAAGTTTGCTGGCCATAGAACAGTTATCGAAAGTGTTTGTTTTCCAACACTTGTGTGTTGCAGCTGGGAGCTATGGAGTCTCCCCAAGCCAAGGCCTCTTGGGAAGCTAAGACTGGCAGTGGCTGGGTGTTAGGCCCCTCTCTAGAGGGTGACAACCACGTCTAGTTCACTAGACCTAGTGCTCCTGGTGGACTTGGCTGCAGGTTACTGCCACTCTGAACCCTTGCTGCCTACGTGACCAGATGGCCTGGCCACAGCCTGGGACTGGTGGCACTGCTGGGAGGAGCTGTTATAGGCTGTGTCAGGATGTGCCTTGCCTTCTCCCCCTTGCAGCTGCATGCCCCTCTTGTCACCCCCCAGTCCTCTCTCCAGTGTGCACACAACCCTTTTGAAGCATGAGTGTTGCAGCACTGCTGCGTATGTGCTCTCAAACTTGCAAGTGACCTCTCACATTTGCTGTTTGATGTTCTTTTGTTCCATTTCTCCCATCCATCCTGTTCCTGTAGACTTTCCTATCTGCTGTCTTTCGTTTCAGGCAGGACCACTGCACCCTTTGGGCTGATTCCTGCAGCCACTTGCAGTGGCCTAGCCAAGCAGAATCTCAGTGATGCCATAACTAGAGAACAGAGATGCCAAGGATTTTTTGGGTAACATCCTTGTTCTGGCAGCTTTATTCATGCAGGTATCTTGTGTACTGGGAGGGAACACCATGGCTGCAGTGAGCTGTTCAGTGAGCAGTGTCAGGATTGGGTTGTCTTCTTTATCCCAACACATCCTGGAGGCTTGAGTACCTGTTTGCTGTGCAGTCGAGACCTGGTGACTACAGGGAAACACCCAAATGGAAAGTCACCAAAGCTAGGACAAACTCCAGACCCAAACAGTGCCGAGTGATGGGGGTTGGGATTGTGTATTTTTGGAAATGATGTCATGAAAATGTTCTGTATTCTTGGGGATAGGACAGATGTTGGCCAAACTAATTAGAAACAGCAAGCTGAGCAAATACAGTCCTAGCCAAAGCCCCTACAGAAGAATGAGAGGACTTGGGCAGTTGGCAGAGGTGGGATTTAATTGCCTCAGCCCAAATTGAAGGAACACCTTAAAGATGTGATTATCCAGGGCCAGGAAAAACATCATGGCTCCATCAGAGCAAAAGTTCACCTAGTGGGCCACCTTCTGTGGCCAAAATTGAACATTTACTCAACAGTGTAAGAGAAGAGCAAGCACAGGTGTATGTTAGTCCCAATAACAACTCCCTAAAGCATTAAGACCTCCAAACCAGGCATTTCCAGCAGTCCTTGATGTTTTTTCTTGCCAGAAAGTTATCCAAATTCCCCTTGCACCCATGTATACTTTGAGCACCTCTGATCAGTGAATGCACAGATCTACTGAGTGGCTTTTTGGTTTACTCCAATTTCATCTGTTGCCCTGTGGATCTTCTGCAGCCCTGTGTCAAGCACCTGTGGGAGAACTAATGGGCCTTAATGGTCCTAAGCAGCCTCAACTGGGACTTCCACACACTCTTGAGCTGCATTTAAGCTCAAGCCTTGGCCTTCAGGTTTGCGTTGAGCAACTTTGTAGGCATTCTTGGTTTTGTCTTGTACATAAGGCACATAGGCCTTATTATCCAGTCTTGATTTTGGCTCTGTCTCATGACTATGTAGATACTGGACTTGCTTCATTATTTGCTCTGTGGATGGACCCTGATACCGACACTTGTCTCAGTTCTGCTCAGGTACTGCGGGACCTGTTCATGAGGGCATGGGGTCACCCTTAGTGGCTAGTCACCCCTCGTGGAGCAGCCTCATTCATGCACCCCTCTGCTGACCAAAAAAAGCGCATTAAGAAAGGCCCTAACCTAGTTTTACATGTGCAGCTGTACCACCATTCTAGTTGTTACTGCTCATAGAAGAGATCTGTCTGTTAAAAAAAGAGCAGCTATCTGTACTCAGCAGCAGTCAAAAAAAAGCAGCTGAAGTATCAGTAGTAGGAAGATCGAGAACAGGATGGAAACCATGAAACCCCAGCACCCAGTGAAGAGGGTGTTTAATAGTTTCCCAGTTGAAATATGGATGAAGAGCTGGAAAAGGATGAAGAAGGGCTCGTTGCAATGGCCTAGAGGAGGATTGAAAAGGGGGCAAGGAGGGTTGGGGTGATGCTGGGGGCATCTGGCAGCTGGGCCCATGCTAAAGCGGAGCCGTTAGGCAACTTGTCTGTAAGGAACCTTGTGAGTAATCAGGTTAAGAGGCTTTTATGGCATAGTGTTAAGTGCTGTGCCTGAAGCTGTGTAAGAAGAGGGTTAGAAATGGGAATTTTATGACTGGGGGGTTGTAAATGAGAATAGCCCTGAAGATAAAATGGGACTGTCAAGTGGTTGAAGACCTGCTTTAAGCTGCTTTCATTGTCACTGCCTGCTGGTTTGGTTAGGGAGGGCGTGTTGGTAACTTGTGTCCTGTGGCCTGTGATGGTGGCTTGGGGACACAGCTTGGCTCTAGAGCGTGCATCTGACTGCCCTGGGTGAGAGATTGGCATCCCTGGAAGCTGAGGCAGGCTCTGGTCCCATTCAGAGAATAAGCAGGACAAGTGTCTTGGAAAACATCCCCAAGATGAGGCCAGGGAGGGAAAAGATGGCAACAGAAGGGATGAGCCAGCTCTCATCTCTTGCCTGTGTAGACCCTCCCGCAGCTTGGGGAGCAAAAGGCCTCCACATGGCCCTGCCATCAGAAGGCCCAGGGAGAGGAAGGGAGTGTGTAGCCATCTCATGAACAAGAGAAAACCAAATTCTGGTAACCTGCAATGGTTGTACAGTTGTGCTAGGCACGCAGACTGGCCTGGCTCTGGCTGTCAGATCTATGTGTTTATTGTTCCCAGTCTAACTGGTGCCTCAAGCCATGCAGAGGGTCTTGCTGATCTTTTCTCAGTCTGGCATGACACAGAAGGGCCTCAGTCTCACCTGTGCTAGGTGTAGTTTGTGCTCAGCTTGAAGGGAAGGTGGCCAGGGCATGTGATGGAGGCATGTGAGTTCCAGCAGCCCTGCTGGGAGCTAAAAATGGCATGTGTGCTCACTGGAGGAGCATGGCTGACGGGGAGGAGGGGGAGGCGGTGGTGGCAGTGAGGGGGGTGTTTAGTTTTGCAGTTACTCCCTTGCTCTGTAGAAGGTTGGCCCTGGGCTGTGGGAGACAGCTGTGAAGGAAGACTGGTGGCAAGCGTGCATGTGCTCTGAGTGATGAGGCGGATATGGAAAAGGCTTGTGCAAGTTGCAGAACCTTCCGTGGGGTGCCCAGGAGACAAGATGGGCCTGTGGCAGGGCTGGTGCTGTCACAGGTGAGGTCTTGCCCTGGGGTGCAGTTCCTGTTTGTAGGACAGGGTGTGAGAGAGCCCTTTCCTCAGCCAAGGATGTGACTTTGTTCTCACCACTTTGAGCTCTGGGGCTGTGGTCCCTCCTGCAGCTTTGCTGACCCACAGGCAGCCTGCCTTGCACACAGTTGTCCTGGCTATGTGGGCTGTTCCTCCTGTGGAGGTCCTGGGTCACACCTGGGCAGAGGAGGTGATCTGTGCCACCTGCTAGGAGCCCTCTGATCTACAGAGCGGGGTGGGCAGGGGCTGCCATCTGTGCTGGGGCCTGCCCGGCCATCATCCCAAGTGTACAAAGTGGTCTGTCGTACCCGTGGATGGCTGTCGTACATCCTCATCCTCACCTGTGGATTTGAAGGCAGCTGTGGCCCATCCTGATAAATCAAGACCCTTTCTCTTTGGACTAGTGATCAACCTGTGCTTGGGCAATGTGTATTTCAGACATATCTGCTCAGTCCTGTGTCCTGCACACCCCAGAGCACCCACGTTGCCCACAGATCCCTCTCACTGCCTCTGCAGCCAGAGAGAGACAAGGGGGACAGCACTTTGTCCCTTGCAGGGTCTGAGAGCAGCCGGGGTGGAGAGCTGCCGCGAGCAACAGCTAGTGGCATTACTTACAGGCAGGCAGGATGGTGCGGAGCCCCTCCCGGCTAGATCCTGAGGATTGCGAGGTAATCTTTGAGCCACGTGGTGTGTCCCCTACGAGGAACCGACTGCCTGGAGCTGGCGGTAGGAACAGAGAGCGAGGGGAGGGCTGGCAGCGCGGGCGCCTAAGCCCTCGCTTCTCCGCCCTGCCGCAGGACGGCCGGGCCGGGCCGGGCCGGGCCGGGCCGGGCCGGGCCAAACCGAACTCGGCTGGACCGGGCCCAGCCCCGCCCGCCCGGCCGGCCGTGCGGTCCCTTTAAAAGCCTCCCTGCGTGTTTCAACCCGGGGGTGACGCGAGCGCGGTCGGGCCGTATGCAAATCAAACGCCAGCCGCCGGCCAATGGGCGCCGGTGCTCGGCGGCCGCTAGCCAATGGGACGGCGCCTCCCGGCGGGGCGCCGGCTCGCCCCATATAAGGAGCGCCTTCGCCATAAAAGGCAACATTGTATCGCTTTATATGGGGGCGGCGCGGCGCGGCGGGGGCGGTGGCGGAGCGGGGCCGTGAGCGCGGAGCGCGGCGGGGCCATGGCGGGGCCGGCTTGACCCGGTCCGACCCGACCCGCGCTCGCCGCCGCGATGTTGCCGAGCCAGGCCGGGGCTGGGAACGGCGCCGCCGCCGCGCTGGCCCGCAGCTCCGGGCTGGGCCGGTCGCCGGTGCCGCGTGGGGCGAACGGCGGCGGGGCGGCGGCGGGGGCGCCCGGGGGCCGTCTGGAGCGGGAGGCGCTGTACAGCGGCAGCGAGGGCGACTCGGAGTCGGCCGAGGAGGAGGAGCTGGGCGGCGAGCGGCGCGGCGTGAAGCGTGGCCTGGCCGAGGCGGCAGCGGCGGTGGCGGCGGGGCCCGCGGCGGGAGCGGCGGCGGCGGCGGCCGCCTACAGCGGCGGCGGGGGCAGTGGGGCCGTGAGCGGCGCCAAGCCTGGGAAGAAGACGCGGGGCCGGGTGAAGATCAAGATGGAGTTCATCGACAACAAGCTGCGGCGCTACACCACCTTCAGCAAGAGGAAGACCGGCATCATGAAGAAGGTGCGGCCCCGCGACTACGGCCGGCGAGGGGGTCGGCCTGGCCGGGGGTGTGGGCCGCGTCCCACCTGCCCGTGGGACCCCAACCGAGCGCGGAGCGGGCCGTGCCCGGAAACGGCTGAGGCTTCCCGGTCCCGCGGACCGGAGGGGGCGGCCCGGCACCAGCCCTTTCCGGGGGGCTGCGCGGGAGCCTCGGGCGGGGAGCTGGGCGGCCAGGAGCGGGAATCCCCGCGGCCGGGGGATGTCGGTGTGCTTGGCGGTCCACGGACGTCTGGTATGCCTGGGGAAGCCCATCCCGGTGCAGCGTCCACCTCTGGGCCGCAGCTGACCGGGGCCGCTCCACGCTGTGAGCCGTCGTTGGGTGTTTGGTGGCACAGCTGGGCTGCCCTGCCCCGCAAAGGGGCCCGGCAGGGCTGGCTCCTCGGGCCGCGGAAGGGACTAACGCCACGTCTCGGCCGGTCCAGAGTGCACTCCGTGGTTCCTGGTGTGCAAAGACAGATTAGAAACTTGGGGGAAATTGTGGGCGATTGGAAGCAGCTGGCTCGCCTACATCCCTGGTGGTGCTCATAGCATCTTCTGAACAACTGGGCAGTGCTGCACCCCAGCTGAGTTGGGCATCATGCACCCTGGGAAGGTGGGAATGGGTATGGGGTTCCACTGGACACCTGGGTGTACGGGATGTAGAATTAGGACATCCTGTCTGTGGAAGCTTGTAGTGTGCACTGATGGCATATGAAGAGTGTACTTCCTAGTCCACAGGTATTCACCTGGGGGATGGTGCAGTGGTGCTTGGGTGCAGCTGTGCTCAGGACTGTGAAGCCTTAGAGAGGAATCTGGGTTCTAGTCCGAATGGAGTGTCAGTAAGGGGAACAAGGTAGCAGTGACATTGTAACATTGTTACAATGTAACAGACGTGTAGTCCCAGTAACATCTTTTCACAGAGGTGAGGAGGAGAGACATCCGGATGTGTCTGGAGAGGAGAGTGGATTTCCAGAATGGAGATATTTCATTGTCCCTGTGTTCTCAGACTGCTCTACTGAGGGGACCACTCTACCTGCAGCCTCTTGGCAGGCAGCATCACCTAAGGGCATGCTAAAGGGGGTGGAGACACAGCTCGAGACAGTTCAACCTGTACAGAACCAATCTTGGGTTGGTTTTAGAGGCCACAGCTCCTCTGGCATGACAGGAAGCCTGAGCTGGTGTGAGGAACAGAACAGCCATGCTGGGAGTGCAGGGACATGCAGTGACTCTTGTCCTGCACTTTATGTTGTCCCTGTCACCTCTTCTGACTTTCCTGACTCCCTCTTCTTCCCTTGTGCTGCTGGCAGGCCTACGAGCTTTCCACGCTGACTGGCACTCAAGTCCTGCTGTTGGTGGCCAGCGAGACAGGCCATGTGTACACGTTTGCCACACGGAAGCTGCAGCCCATGATCACCAGTGAGACAGGGAAGGCGCTGATCCAAACATGCCTCAATTCCCCGGACTCACCCCCACGCTCGGACCCCACCACTGATCAGCGCATGAGTGCCACGGGCTTTGAGGAGACAGACCTCACCTACCAGGTGTCTGAGTCGGACAGCAGTGGGGAGACCAAGGTAATGTTCCTGGGCGCCCAAGGAGGCATGGCCTGTGCTAGGAGCCCTGATCATCCCCAGGCCTCTTTAAATAGCAGCTTAGGGAGCTGGGGATGGATCCCTTTTTGCTGCAACTGCAGTGAACTTGTGCTGTGTGCTCTTGGGATTGACTCCTTGGCTGACAACAGTGGTGATTTGAAGAGGGAGGGAAGCGGGTGGCAGGTGTCCTGGTCCTGGCCTTTGCAGCATGGCTCCCCACTGGCCCAGCCCACCCCCCTGGCCAGCTTTCAGCACTGTTATCTCTCCCCAGGCGTCTCCATGCTCTCGCACTCATTGATAAAAATTTGATTCTGCCTCCATGGCCTTATAAGGCCTGGTTTCCCTCGCCAGAGTCCCTGGCAGGGCCCCTCACATTCCTTATAAGCTGCAGCTGTCTCTTGCTTTGGTGCTGTTTTGGAAGGGGGCAGGGAGGACATGGGGAATGGAAACATTTGGCTGGACAGACCATTTCTGCTCCCTGCCTGTTGTCCTTGCAGACACTGGCCATTGCCTGCCTGTGTTACTTGTGGCCTTTTGCTCAGGGTGGCCTGCCCGTGGGTGCAGAGTCAGGCAATAGTGCTTTTCTGCTGGAAGGGCTCTGTCTTATCCCTGCATTCCCTGATGCTCTTCCTCACAGCTGTTGCAAGAAAGCCGTCTCCTGTATCCCTCCTACTTCCTTTGCAGGCTGGTGCTTGGGTCCACAGGTACTTGGAGGTGGGAGGCAGGGAAGTTTGTGGTGCAAGGCTGGGATGACATGCTGAATTTGGAGTTGAGCCACAGCTTCCCAGATCTGTGTGCAGTGCCCTTGGGTGCTGTGAGTTAGAGCAGTCTTGTACTTGTGCCTGTGGCATGAGTACCGGACTTGCTGCAAAAGTATCCTTCCAGGTGAACTGTGGCCTTGCTCTAGGAGCTCTCCAACCATTTATGTACAAGCCACAGCAGCATCCTTGCCATGCAGTAGCCGCTAAACATTAAGCAGATAGAACCTTGAGATCTCTGTGGAATAATCACAAAGGTAGTGAGTGCAGCCCTGACATGTGCTCAGCATGTTGCCTGGGGCTTCAGGGGTGTTCAACTGCCCGTTTTTATGCTATGACAGCACAACAGCTCTGGTCACAGTGCTGCTGGGTGCCCAGCAGCCCCCTATGGCCACTTCCCCACGTGTGTGCAGTGGTGCACCAAGCACAAGCTTATTGCTGCTGAGCCCTGAGAAACATCAGCAGTCCCAGAGATCCCTGGAAACAGAGGAGCTGTGGTGGGCCAAAGTGTTCCTGACTGGAGACTCTGTGCAGGAGCCCAGAAGAGTCCTTGGGAAGGCTTCCTTCTGATGAGAGCCCAACACCAGTCCGGGCTATCCCAGTCTGGCATGTCTTCCCTGAGTGCCTCTGATTCTCAGTGTGAGCTGTGTCAGCCCTTTCCAGCAGGCAGAGGAGCCAGCTATCACCAGCAATCTCTCCCTTGTGCAGCCTATGTTTGTAAGGACTTGTGTCTCTTGGGCTTCTCCGGGATGAAAAGACAAGTTCTGTGAGCATTTTGTAATGAGACGAATTACTTGTACCTGGAGTAATTTGGAGGTGCAGGAAGCACTGTGCGTGGCAGCTGATCTGTCCCTAGCACGGGACTTGCCCGCATCATATCCCTTTAGATTCTTCCTGAAAGTACTGCTAATTAGGCCCAAATGAACTGTTTTCTTGGGGTGCACTTACTCTGCAGAGATCTTCTTAACACAACTTCTCTTTTCCCACTTTCTGATGCAACACTGCAAGCTCCATCCCAGTGGTAATGCTTAGTGTGGGGTGCTTTGTGGCCACAGTGAGCATTTGATGTGAGGCTGGAGGAGCTCTATGGCCCTGTCTTCTGCTTGACGTTCTGATTAAACCCACCCTGGCCTGCTGAGAGTTCCTGTCAAGGCAAGCCCTGGGGCTGGGGACAGTCCTACCCTGACCATCCCCAGTCCTGCTGTGCCTTCTGCAGTCCTGGAAGTCTGCTTGGTGCTCTGGCAGAGATCAGCCTGATTCGGATAGACCAAGAAGTCCTTTGAGAATTAAGGGAGCCTGTGAGTGGGCAATGCTAGGTGGCTGGCATTTGCTGAGGGATGGGTGGTACACATGGCTGGGTTACACAGGTACCTCACTGGAGGAGGTGGCAGGAGATTCAGAGCCTGGACGATCAGGTCCAGCTGCATAGGATGCTCTGAGAGGCTTTCTGGCCTTCCTGTGTGAACTCTGCTTTCCAGATCTCTGTGTGGGCAAAACCTGCTTGTGTTCAGCTGCTGCAGCAGAGTTGGGAAGACAATGCAGCCAGGCTGTTACCTGCAGTCAGCAGCCTGCTGGCATTCCTCTGTGCTACAACCAGCAGCAGCTATGAGACTCTCCTGTTGTGCCAGACCCAAACTCTCTGCCATGGTGCTGAGCTTGGACCACAGCTGGGATTGGGGCATGCTGTATCCTTGTGATGATACTGTTGTGCACTGACCTGTCTCATCTTTTGCAGGCCCCAAAGGACACTGTCCGTGTGCAATCTCTTGGGTGTGGTTATGTGATCCACTCATTCTGTGAAGCAGTGATGTGGGTGCAGGCAGACATCTGCTGCTATGCTGCACCTCTCTGCTCTGTGCTTGTTCCCAGACACTGCTCTGCAAACTGAAGTTTGCACTGAGCTGTGACGGGGAATGGATATGCAGCTGGATCAGGAAGGGAATGGAGTTCAGGGCTGCTGTTTGCCTCAAGGCTTGTCCACGGCCCCTTGGGTAACCTCTGCTGAAGGTGATCCATGGCTTGGCTCCTATTGAAGGCTGGCCTCATGCGTGTAGTCTGGGCTTTGCAGGGTGCTGGGGAAAGCCAAGGAGCCCAGGGTAACTGAGGCACCCCAGACAATCATGGGTATGTGGCAGCGGGTGTCCAATCCCAAAGCCTTTCCCAACTCTCTTTCTGTATTGGGAGCTATTGATGCAGCCCAAGACAAACACAATAAAGATGGAAGGAATCTGAGTCTCCCCTGTGTCAGAACAGGGAGTGCAGAGATGGAGTATGCATGGTTCAAGCCTGCTGGCAACAACTCTCCAAGCACCTTTGCTGCTCTCATGATACTGAGGTTTGCCCTTATGCTTCTAGGGAGCCCTGGGAATCCTCTTAAATAGAGTGCTGTGAACTTTTTGGGATGTCTCCTCAAGCCCTGAGAGAATGGAGTGCCCTGGCTGCCTGGGGACTATGTCTCAAGGGTGTACTGCTTTAGAGTTATAGCTGGGGATGTGGAACCCTGGCTTTTTCAACTGGGAACAGGATCTGTCCTGCCCCACTCTGCTCTGGCTCTTCAGTGGGCTGGGGAGAGCTCTGCCCTGTCACCCACATGGGGAGGGCACCCACAGCCTCCTGTGTCCCATGTGCGATGGCAGGAGTTTGTGGTTGAGCTAATGGAAAGTGCTTCTGCTGGGCTCTGCTCCGTTATCACGTGCCTCTTCTAATTTGGACTTCAGGCACTGCGGTGCCAAGGGTGTTACTCTCCTCCCTCCCCAGGCCCTGGGGCACGACTGAGTGCCTGGGATTGGATCCCCCTGTCCAAAATGGGCTGCCTTCCCTTTTTTAGCTGTTCGTTGAGCTGTGAATTCCTTGTTCCTGGCAGCCTGACAAGCTGGGAACAAGGCTTAGCACGTGGGAGAGCTGGGCCCACCAGCCTGCAGTGGGAGGGGTGGGAGTGTGGCAGCCTTAACTCTTCCCAGCCGTACTGGCAGCTGTGGCAGGACATGGGGATGGCAGGTCCCTTGTGGCTTGTGATATGGTCTCCTGTGAAGCAGTGCATTCTTAGTGTGCTCTTGACCAGATGAGCAGGGCAGGGGAGGAGCCATGGGGACCCTGGGTATTTGAAAGGGGATTTGGCGGACAGAGGCATGTTAGGTGAAATATGACTGTTAGAGACAGCAAGGCTTGGTTGGTTTCTTGCAGACCCAAGCCACATCCAGCTTTGTGGCTGTGGAAACCAGGGTGTTATGTGCTCTGCAGCCTGGCACACGCATTCCTCCCTTGTTTCCAGACCTGGCAGACCAGTCTCCGAGGCTAGTGTTGGCCCAGCACAGGGCCCTTTCCCTGGTGCTCAGCTTCTCTGGCAATGCTGTCCTCAGGCACAGTGCTCTGATGCTCCTTGCCAGGACTGTGCTGTGTGCTGGCTGTAGCTGACACGTAGGGTCCTTTGGAAGCATTTGCCTTGTGCCTGTCTCCTGCTAGTAGATTTGCAAATAGGTGCTTTCTACTGCCTTTGCTCCAGGAGATTTGTTGAGGCATTCCCCAGGGCCTGCCAAAGCTGCTGTCAGGTCTGGGTCTCTCTAGTGTCCAGGTTTGCCTTTGCTCACCTCTCCCTTGCTGCTTTCAGCATACAGCTGCCTTTTAAGAGCCAGTTCTCAGCTTGTTCTTGGTTGTGTGTTTCCTGCCTTAAGGGAAGTGCTGTGTGTTCCTGACAGGAGGCAGTGTATGCCTTTACGTCTGTCCCTGCAAGAACTGCTTTTACCTGTTGTGTGCCAAAAAGAGGCTATTCTCCTCTTAGATGTTTTGGGGACTCCTGGGGAGGGTAAGGGTTGCTTTTTCCCCTGATGCATTGCAGGGAAGGCTCTCAGGGGATCTGTGTGGCCCTGGGCTTGTATCCAGAGTTTATGCTGAGCACTCTCTAGCTCTCCTCATGCTACATTATTGGGTACAGTTTCCTCATGTTTGTACAAGCAACTCTTCTCTGCTGCCCTGACTCTCCTCCATGTGCTGGAGCAGGCTACTGAGGGTATGATTTGGCAAAGGGATGGAACCTACAGAGCCTGGTTTGGTGTCGTGGGCAGAAGTCTCATGGGCTGGTCTGAGTTTTCACCATCTCTCCTTTTGTAGGATGCACTGAAACCTGCATTCGCTGTCACCAACCTGCCGGGAACAACGTCCATCCAGACAGCCCCCACCACCTCAACCTCCATGCAGGTCAGCAGTGGCCCGTCATTCCCCATCACTAATTACCTGGCACCAGTGTCTGCCAGCATTAGCCCCAATGCCGTCACCAGTGCCAACGGGACAGTACTGAAGACTACTGGAGCCAGTGCAGTGACGTCTGGGGGCCTCATGCCAATACCCACTGGCTTCACCCTCATGTCAGGTCAGTGCCTTTAGGGGCTGAGGGCTGCATCTGTCTGTCTTGGCACCTGGAGTATGTTGCTGTTCTCTCTGGGGAAGAGGAGGCCTAGTGGCAGAAGGGAAGCAGAGTGGGTTGTTGCTGTAAGGTGAACCTGGCTGAGATTCCTTGTCCAAACCCAGCCAGGCCAGTGGCTGGGGAAGGGTCATGTAGTGACCGTTTCCTTAGAGTGCTGCTAGCTGGCCCTGCTGCTGGGAGGTGGCAGGGAGTTGAGCTAGGACCCCAGGACAGCACCAAGAAGCCTGGAGGGAGTGAAAAGAGCTGGTGGTGACAAAGCCTTTCTTTCTCCCTCCTTTCGGCAGGTGCTTCCCTTTCTCCGGGGACCCCTACCATTCCTCTCACTCAGTTACAGCCGCACTCTCTGGCTCTTTCCAGCCAGCAGGGCCAGGTGGTCACGGGTACAGCTGGACAGCTGCAGCAGGCACAACAGACAGTCTTCCGCTTCCCTGCCAGAGCTGGAGGGCAGATCGTGTCGCTGACAGGTCAGCACTCGCTTCTCCTCCGCTTGCTAGAGGTGGGGGGATGGAGGCGTCTGTGCGGGTCCTGGTCCTGGCCACACAGCTGACCACTGACTGAGGTGGGAGCACAGACGAAGCAGAGCACAGAGTACCCTTGTTGTAGCTTTGGGGGAGAGATGGGAAGACAGGGCAGAGAATGCTTGATGTAGGCAGGAGTGGCATCCTGGGGGATACAGACCAAGGGAAGCAGTGGGTTTTCAGTCTCCCGCTCCAGGGTTTGGCCTGTGGCTAGCAAACGCAGAGGAGACAGGTCTCCAGTGCAGCTGTGCTGAGGCTGAACTGTGGTGCTAGAATTGATGGAAGGATACTGCAGGGGTTCAGGTGCCCAGTGGCTACTTATTGAGTAGCAGCTGCCCTGGCTTTTGTGTTGGGGTCTGCAGTAAGTCACTGAACCACAGTGATTAGGGGGAGACACAGAGCAGAGGAGTGGTGCTGCTGTGCTTCCTTGTGTACATTGTCCTTTGTAGGAATTTCTTCTTGTGCTGAGTCAAGGCTCTCCAGGTGTGGTGCTGTGGCTGAACATGCTCCTGGCTGGAGTTTCAGAACAGGGTTAGGCTCTCCTTTGTGGGGCAGCCATCATCTGAGGACCAGCATTGGTATGACAGTATTTCTTGTGTCCTACCTGTTTATACCCAAGTTGACGAGTCTGATAGCCTGGGTACTTTCTTGGAATGCTTAAGGCTCCCATGGGCCCTGGCAGACAGTATGATCCCATGCAAGGGGTCTGGATTTCCCTTGTGATCTGGAGGAACTAAGAGAATAACTGATGTATGTCTCTCTCATTTGATGTGTGGGGAGATGCCCCGTCTGAGCAAGGTGGACAGTGATTCCTGCTCCCTGACATCCCTTACTCTTCCCTCTGGAGACAGGACCTCAGCCTTAGGGGAGCTTTCTGTGCTAAGCTCTGTTTCTAGAGCTGAATTGCTTTGCAGTGAGTGGTCTGGGCCAGAGGCTGTGTGGCTGTGCCCCTGCACCTCTAGGATTCAATGCCTTGAGGCCATGTGTTCTGTAATGCCTGTGTAGGGCACTGTGCTGTCCTTGAGGTCACAAGCTCTGAGACAGCAGTGGCCTAGAGCCCTGTGGAGGATCAAGCTGATCTCCAGACTGTGAAGGCAGCAGAGCCCAGCTGGTTTGCGCATTTAGGCTCTTGCGGTTCTGCTTGGTGCAGCGAGATGATCCTTGCAGAGCTGGCTGAGCATTGGAGAGGCATATGCTGGGCCCTCTCCTCCCAGCATATTCTGTGCTGTGTCCTGGTGGGGCCAGGAATGGTGAGGAGGGCCCCAGATGTTCTTGAACCATGCCTGGAAGTTTGGCAAAAGCTGTTGTGGCCTGTTCTTTACTCTCTGGAGCTCTGTGGGCCAGCTACCTTCTTGGCCCGTGTGCCAGGAAAGAACACATTTTGGTTTCTGCCACATGCTGCTTTTGTCTAGCCTTCCCCAGTGCAGTGTCATGCTGTGGAACTGTATGCAGCCGGTGAAGGACTGTGGCGCTTTCACGTGGTCCAGAGTACCTGTATCCCTGTGGAGCCACAGGCTCATGGGTTCTTCTTTCTCCCCAGGTGGTACCATGGCTCAGCAGGTCCCAGTCCAAGCGATCCAGGTGCACCAGGCACCGCAGCAAACGTCTCCCTCTAGTGACAGCAGCACTGACCTTACCCAGACCTCTTCCAGCGGAACAGGTAACCACCTTCTGTCTGCCTTCCTGACCACTGCTGATAACAACCCACACCAACAGACCTCGTGCTTGCTCCCTGCCCAGTTTCCTTCTTCAGACCAACTCTATCCCAGCCTTTCTGACAGTTTCCCAGGTGTCTTGATCCCTGTTGCCAGCTCCTGTGCTATGCCATATCTAGGTAGATGCTGCTGTGCCTAGGGCACCTTCCAAGGGATTTCAGAGCTTCTCCAGATACATCGTTAACTCTTACAGCATGGAGCTGGGAACAGGTTACCCAGTTCTCAGATGGTTTCTTAGTGAGGCAGCATTGCTTCACAAGGCATTGGCTCACATCTGCTTGAGATTTTTACTGTCTATGCAGAGGACATCTCTTTGTTGGCAAATTCTGAGTTCAGGTGCCTGGATGCAGGCTGAATCTAGTTCAACAGCTTTATTAAAGCTTCATCAGGGAACTTGAGATGCAAGTTGAATTTAGTCCTGGGATGTTTGACTACTGTGCTTTTCTGCCCCTTCATACTCATGAAAGGAGAGGTTTGAGCTCTTCTACTTGATCTGTGGGACTTTTCCCCAAGAGCTTGGGAGACAAGATGGGTATCTTCATGCACCATGCCTCAGCACAGCATGGCTGAGGGTGCTGAGCAGGCATGTGAGTGTGGCAGACCCCTTTCATGTGGCTCACATGTAGTCTGTCCTGGTGCCAGTGACCCTCCCAGCGACCATCATGACGTCGTCTGTGCCAACCACTGTGGGTGGCCACATGATGTACCCCAGCCCACACGCGGTGATGTATGCGCCCACATCTGGCCTTGCGGACGGTGGACTTGCAGTCCTCAACGCTTTCCCACAGGCGCCCTCAGCGATGCAGGTGTCCCACGGCCAGGTCCAGGATCAGGGTAAGAGAGCTGTCTGGGTCAGTGCTCCCTTAAAGTGCACCCACATCCTGATTTTTCTCCTCTTGCATGTATTTATGCTGTATGTTAATTTCCAAGAATTTTCTTCTCAGCAGTCCTAGTGGCTGTACAAAGGCCTGGCAAGGGTGATGCTTGATGTGCACTTGTAGATCTTGCCATTCTCTTGTGCAAAGGATTGCTTGAGCTCTTGCTGGGTAAAAAGGGTGAGGGATTCTGGGATGGGTGGTGTGTGGGGCAGGCAGCAGAGGGAGCTAGGAGACTCTGGAGAGGTTGTGTGGTTGCATGAGGGAGCTAAACAGCATGAAGCCATGTGGTCAAGACTTGGATTGAGGACTTGTGCCTGCTTCTCCCAGCATTTGGAAAACTAATGCATGTGGCTTTCTTCTGGAATGCCTCCATGTATGCAGACTGGCAGCTTTGTCCTTGTGAAGCTCCATGGAGCTCAGAGAATGGATCCAAGTGGGCAGCACTGTTTCATTTGTGCTTCTCTCTGTGGCAGGTGGCGTCCCCCAAGTGTTCCTGACAGCCCCATCAGGCACTGTTCAGATCCCAGTCTCAGCTGTCCAGCTTCACCAGGTAGGCACAGAGTAGTACTTGCAGGTGTTCAGGGGGTATTCTTGCTCTGCTCCTGCCTGCACATCCTTTGTGTACGTGGGCAGACCTGGCTGGGTAGGGTCAGTCCTCAAGGTCTGGGAAAACTGTCAGTGCCACCCACCTTTGGGTGACGCAGTTTTGTCCTCCGTGGACAGGTGCCCAGGAGGGACAGTGCCCCCCTGGCTGCTGGCATGCATGGTGTCAGGGCATGCTGTCCCCCAGTTGGTCCTCCTCCCTTTTCTCTCTAGATGGCTGTCATCGGGCAGCAGAGCAGCAGTGGCAGCAGCCTGACGGAGCTGCAGGTGGTCAACTTGGACACCTCACACAGCGCCAAGAGTGACTGAGAGGCCTCTGCTGCCAGCCTTTTGTATCTGGCTTGTCATGCCAGTGTTGGGGCTGGTGGCAATTCCTTCTCATACAGACTGCACCAGTTATTTATTGTTGCCTTTTCACGTTTCCTTCATCCACACATGCACACACACACATGCACTCGCCCACCCCCACGCACACAGGCATGCGCGTGGGGCTGCAGAACCCACCTGGGGTGGAGCGGTGCTGGGGCCATGCAGGGCTTGGGGCATTTGGATGCTGCAATAGCTGTGCTTGTCTCACGCCAGCCAAAGAAATTTGTCTCTCGAGGGGAGGATTGCTCTGCACTGTAAATAAATACTGCGGGCCATTCCCAGCTGAAGGCTCTGGCTCCTTCTGGGCGCTCCGAGTCACCTTGCCCATGAGTGTTTACTCTGCGTGGGGCTCAGCTCAGTCCTGGAGCCATCATGCAGGCGCAGCTCAGACCAGAGTGGGTTGAGGCTGTGCTGCTGGCCTCAGCAATGTGCCTTTGTGGGGTGACAGGTCCTGGCTGCAGCAACTCACCCTGGGCTCTGGACGGGAGAGAGGGGCCAGCTTGCATGTGCATCTCTAGGCCTGTGCGCCCTCCTTCTGGAGGGCAGGGCACAGCTGTTGGCACGTGGCCCTGTCCTCCTTGTATGCACTACAGTGAGCCCTCTGCCCTTAGTGCCTCCTCACTGGGCTGCCTGGCAGATTTTCAGCCAGATTGGCCCAGCCCCAGTGGCTGCCCTTGCACAGCTGAGGTGGTCTGTAGATGTCCAGGAACACAATGATGCCCTGGAGAGCTCCTCAGGGGCTCTGTGCTCTGCTCAACCCCACACTCTCAGCCCTCGCACTGCTTGTGGACTCCGTACACCCAGGGGAACGTGGCTGGGTCCTTCTTACATCCCCCTGCAGCTCCAGCCAGCGTGTTCTAAATTTCTGTGTCTGATGCAAGGTGGAGAAACAACTCAAATGTCAAAGGGAAGAGCCCATTGGGCATTGAGCTGCTGGGCAGGTGCCAGGCTCTTCCTCTGAGCATCAGGGTGATCTGCAGGCCATCCTGGGTTGTGGAGGAACAGCTGTGATGCCTGTACAGGCTCAGCAAGGCTGGAGGGAGAAGGGCTGGAGCATGCTTGGTCTGCATGGGAGTTGCTGTGAATGGCTCTGCTACCTAGCCCTATCCCTGGAGGGAGAGTGAGCAAGTGAGAGAAGCTGCTGAATCCTTAGGAGAAGAAGCAGCTACTGTAACTTTTTTTTTTTCTAAGTTAAAGACAAAAGAAGCCTTGGAGAAAAAAAAAAAAAGAAAATTACTTTATTTTTCTAAGTGTTAAACTCAGTATTTATGTAATTCTTTAAGGAATAAAGTTTGGCTCCTGTACAGTTTTAATGGGGTTTGTACCAGGGGGATGGGAGAGGGGTGGGTGGGTGGGCATGGAGGCAGGAAAGGGGCCTTGCTTTTGAGTTTGTATTGTAACCTTGGACATGTTCCCTCAGCATTAGCGTTTAAGCCACACTCTTCATCCACCAGCATGTGCCAGGGATCAAGCTCAACTGAGTGGGATGCTTGTTTCCCACTTGTCTGTACTGAGGACTCATAATTCTGGGCTCAATGGGCAGAAAGCGAGTGAAGCAGTGGCTAGTTTCTAGAAGTGGGAAACCCATTCCTCAGGAGCAGGGGATTTGTAGCATGCATGGGAGCCAGAGCTGAGCTGGGTTTTCTGATGATCGCCCTGTTCACTTCTGGTCCAGGGACCTGCAGCTGTTCTGTCACTGCTCTTGGTGTGCAGCAGTGCTGCCTGTGACTGTCTAAGGGATTTAGGCATCCCCACTCTTCCCTGGGTGTGGTGAGTGACCAGCAGTGGCTAATCCCTATTCTCCCTGCTTGCTGTGCGGGTAGCATCTTCTGAACCCCTAGCTGAAGATCTGGGCTGTAGATCCCCCTCTACAGCCTTTCTGCAGTGCACAGATATGGACAGGTTCCCTCCAAGCTCCCTGTACAAAGAATTCCCAGAAGGGTCTTTCAGCCCTTGGTCTGTTAACAGCCTGGGAAGGGCTTGTGGAGAGTTGGTGAGTGACATTGCATGCTGCCTCCCCTTAGTATCCTTGCTCTAAGAGTGATGCATACACTGCAGCTCAGAGCATATGGGACTGCTAAGCCGTGTCCCTTTGCTAGGTGTATGAAAACTGCTCAGTATTGCTTCCAAAGCAATCTGGGTACCTAGAAGTTCATCCAGGGAGAAGTGTGGGTTTGGGGTTTGCGTTGTCCTTTGCCCCAGCACGTCAGTGTGGCCTGGCTTTGCTCTGCTTTGCTTGTGCTAGCACTATGGAGCAGAGCTGTTGGGCCAGAATGGCAGGAGAGCCCCTGCTGCTACAGGGTGTCTGACTGCATCCCCTCCCTGGCTCCCCAAAGGCAACTGCTGGTTAAACGCTAATGGTGTATTTTATTTAAGTGCAGACTTGTAAGAACACTTGTGTATCAGGGATGAAATGGCATTTATTGTGTGGTGACATTTTTAGTTAATTTTACTGGTTTGAGGGGTGTGTGTGTGTGTGCGTGCGTGTGCGTGTGTGTGTACGCATAAGTGTGTTTGGGATTATTATTTTTTTTCCCTCCAGTTTCCAGGGTTGTGTTTCTGGAAGGATGTGGAAGTAATCACAGTACTATGTACAGAGCTTTCTTTTGTATTAAAAAAAAATTACTCTTTCAATAAATGTTATCATTTTGTGCACAGATTTGGGATCTCGATCATTCTTTGCGGGAGGGGATGACACATACCTTAGGGGCAACGCATGGGGATCAAAGGCAGATCCTGCATTGGTCTGTTTACTGTCAAGGATGAGGGTCTGTCTGAGCCTGATGTGGCAAAGAGGGGTTCTTTGCAAAAGTCTCCATCCCTACTGCCTCCTGCACAGGTGAGACCCAACCACCTGGACTTCTACTCTGGGAGTCCCAGACCTAGTGCAGGACCAGAGGGGGCCTTTGGCTGACAGCAAGACTGTGAGGGCTGTCCTTTCTGAAAGCTCTGGAATAGTGTTGGTGGTAAGCAGGGCATGGTGTCAGTCAAGAGAAGTAAAAACCAGGAATGAGGAGGAATGGGGAATTTTGAAAAAGAATTGTTCTAAATCATGGGTGTTAATAGGGAGGAGCAGGGGGACTGTTAAATTCCCTGCAGAAAACTGCTATGAGAAGATACGGCAATATTCAAAATCCAAACTGGAGAGGTATGAAGTCAAGTAAAAGGCAGATGCCTAGAAGCCAGGTCAAGGCACAAGGGGGCTCAGTAAAGTGTGTAAAGCTGTGAATGAAACCAAAAGGAAAGGGGCTCATTACAATCCTCAGGACTGCTGGGGCAACAGTATGCCAGCTAAAAATGCTGCTATCTAGCATCAGATCCTGGAGCAGATACCAGTACGGTGCAAGGAAAGCTTAGCACTGATAAAAGTCTGTGCAGTGGAGGCACAGCGCTTTTCCTCACAGTGCTGTTTGGAGAAAATATGTCAGTGCAGCAGGAGAGAAGGTTGCACAGGAAGTGCTTAGGAGCAAAACACAGCTCAAATGGCTCTTACCCCATTAGGAAGTGAGGTGCTTCACTTTTACAGGTTACACCACAGCTAGCCCCATGTGCAGCATGCCTACACAGGTGTGTCTCGTGTTTCAGCACCACAAACCTCCTATCAGCACAAGCAGTCCCATGTCACTTGTGCACAGGGGGCTGTCTGTGACATATGGAGCAAGATACCACAGATGTAATCTTTATTTTTAGGATAAATGACGTACTAAGCATAGAATCTGGAGCCAAGACATAAGCAGGCCGTGTGAATACCACAGAAAACCTCTCTGTGTCACAAACAAGATGTCTTGGTAGTGAATGGGGAAGGAAAATGACATGTTAATTGAGAACATGGAGATTTCAAGAGCATCCATGGGATTCTAGAAAGAGAGCATCAATAGCATCAGAAGAGATTACATGCACTAATGGTGAAAATCAAGAGCCTGGCTTGGAAACATGAACATTTACAGTCCACCACTGGTGCCCCAGCTTTAGAGGATGGTCTCCACAAACTGATGCAGTACTGCACTGCTTTATCCAGCCTACAGTTAATTGCCATTATATTGTTGGGATTAATTGCTGATTGCTATTGTAAAACATGGAAATTGTCTGATCAGTTGCATTAGTTCTGAGGGTAGAAATTAATTTGGGCACATACATGAAGTTGCTCCAGCATCAAATAAGAAAGTAGAGTCTCATCTATTTAGCTGATTTTAATGTTTGTTTATAATTTAAAACAAATGTTAGCCACAATCCAGGTTGACTGCTGTGAGGCCTACCAAGGAAGGGAAATATGGATAAAGGATAAGAATTTAGATTTTACAGTGTTACACCAAAGGTAGAAAGGAACTGGAAATAGGACAAACTTGTGTGCAACAGGCTTCAATTGTCTCTCTAGCAACACTGAGGACAGTTTCAGAGGCCCAAACCTGCCAAGAGCCAGCACAGCTGTCACTGAAGCCGAACAGGGTGGATGCGGGGCTGGAACCACCCCAGGGCCACGGGCCTGATGTTGCTGTAATTTTTGATTAATGGTTATTATTACATTATTATTGCAATAATAATGTTAGTGCTGACATGACATGCTTTTAGCCTACCTACCACCCATTCTGCTACAGCCCTTGATGAAGACGATTAATAATGGCCAGTCTTCGTGAGCGAAGATTTGGGAAAGGTCATTAACCCTTCGAGCCTGCGCAGTGGATTTTTTAGGTGAGACACAGCGTGCGCTGAACTGAGCCCACCCTTTAATCCTGAGGTTCATCTGCCGGGGCCGAGCAAGCTTGGACAGTGGCAGTGAGGGTCTCAGAATGTAGGTTTGTTTAGAGTGACCTTCTCTTAGATGGATTGCCTTACAGGGCTGACTTGGACAGTGGCAGTGAGGGTCTCAGAACGTAGGTTTGTTTAGAGTGACCTTCTCTTAGATGGATTGCCTTACAGGGCTGATGAGCTCCATCTGCCCGGGGGGCCGGGAATCGAACCCGGGTCGCAGCGGTGAGAGTCCTGCACCCTAACCACTAGACCACCAGAGGCCCCACTAGAAGACGATTAACCACCAGAGAAATTGTACCAACGCACAGTGCAACACATGTTATCAAAAAGCCTCTTGAGCTCTGGCAGGTGCAGTTTTCAGCTCCCATCTCCGTTTCTTCTCATTTCTAATATTAGCCAGGAGAATCAGAAGATACTCTGATCTTCCATGTTTTTCTGTCTCTCACCACCGGCAGGGAGGGGCAGCAGCCCTGTGACCCATGGCTGTGTGGCCACAGACAGACCCCTGCACTCCAGCTCCAGCTGCAGCTGCAGCTTGCATCCCCTCGCCTCAGAGGGACCCGGGAAGGGGAGGCAGCAGTGCCCTTGTGGCCAGGAAGGGCAGTGGTATCCTGAGGTGCATTAGGAAAAGCATTGCCAGCACGCTGAGAGGTGATCCTGCCCCTCTACTCAGCCCTGGTGAGGATCACCTGGAGAGCTGTGTCCAGTTCTGGCCTCCTCAGGACAAGAGACACGTTGATCCTGGAGTGGGTCCAGCAGAGGGCAACACAGAGGATTAGGGGACTGGAGCATCTGCCTTACGAGGACAGGCTGAGGAAGCTGGGCCTGTTCGGCCTTGAGAAGAGACGACTGAGAGGGGACCTCATCAATGTCTATCAGTATCTGAAGGGAGGATGCCAAAAGGATGGAGGCAGGCTCTGCTCGGTCGTGGCGAGCAATAGGACAACAGGCAACAGAGAGAAACTGATGCACAGGAAGTTCCACCTGAACATGAGAAAGAACTTCCTTACTGTGCAGTGACCGTGCACTAGAACAGATTTTCCAGAGAGGTTGTGGAGTCTCCAAGAACTGTCTGGACACAATCCTGAGCCAGGTGCTGTAGGATGATCCTGCTTGAACAAGGAGGCTGGACCAGATGACCCGCTGTGGTCCCTTCCAGCCTGACCCGTTCTGAGATTCCGAGGGACGAGAGGCGCGTACCACGCAGCCTCCGCCGCTCCCTGTCCCTCGCCGCCTCCCGTAGTGCGGACCCGGAAGCGCGGCGGGTGGTGCTGCTGTTTCCGGTCCCTCCTGGTGGCGCCGGGGCAGCTCCCGCGGCGGAGCCTTCGAGTCTCGGCCGCGCCGCCGCCCCGAGTGCGCGGGGAGAGCCGAGCCGGGGACGAGACCTCTCGACGGGGCAGGCGTCTGAGGGGCCCCTTCCTTTTCCCCGTGCCGGGAGTCGGTCGGCCCCCCGCGCACCGAGGCCGGGCTCTGCCGTGCCCTGCCCGGCCTCGCTGCGGCTCCGGGGGGCGGCGGCGCAGCGGTGAGCGAGGGGCCCGGACGGTGGGGCGCGGCTCGCTGGGGTGTCCGGAGCGGCCGAGGCACATCGGTGCGAAGGGCCCTGCCCGCGCCTATGTGGACCCGCCGTCCCGGCGCGGTGGGAGGTTGGGCTGGGCTGGGCTGGGCTGGGCTGGGCTGGGCTGGGCTGCTGGACGCCGGGCCGTGGTGCCTGGTGGACTCGGCATCACAGCTCTGACACAGAGTGCAGCGCCTGTGTCACAGCGGTCTGACAGTTCGGCTGTGGGCACTGTGGCCTCCAGTGCACGTCATTCACACGTGGTGCAGCAATACTTCAGGTGCCCTAAGCCCAAATTCTCCCCTTCCTAGCTACAAGTCCATTTGGGCCCCTTCTTTTGGGCTCCGCTCGAAAGAGGTTTTTTCATGCTAAATGGGATGATGTGGGAATGGGGTGAAGTTACCAAACTTCACAGAGACTTCCATTTTATTCTGATTTTCATTTTATGTGAACCTTGTAGGATGGGTTTTTTTCTGTGCGTATGCACCGTCCAAGCTCATTTAAGGAAAATGATTATTTGGCTTATTGTGTGGCATCTAAACACTGTTACAAAGTACAGGACAATAACTTGGTCTTTTTATTACAGAGACTGCAAGAAGATTCCCATTTGGCTTGCTGCAAATTCCAAGGAAGGCACAACTGAAGGTAGGTATGAATTTCTTGGCAGACTGCTTCTCTCTGCACCTGGAAAACATTTTGATTGTGCCTGTCATAGTCTTTGATGGTTAGTGTCTTCTTTGGTTATACCTGGATTGACTGTTTCTGTTGTATCTTAACTCCTTTTTTGAGAATGACTTGTGTTACCACCAGTGGACAGAATCTTGCTTTGCTGCTTCTCTTACTGGCATGTGTGACAGGAGAGCCTGTTCTTGTGTTTCCCACTGCCACCTACCTGAGCTCCTCTGACAACCTTCCTATCAGACTAATCTGGAATCCTTTGTAGTAGTGAAGTCAATCCAAAGCCAGTCCATGGTGTTTGCAGCTGGCCAGCTGATTGCTGTCCCTCAGCCTTGGACAGCAAATTATTTCCATGCTCCTCTTTGCACAGGTCCAAGCAGAGAAGCACCACGCCTTCTTTGTAGTCCTAAGATATGCAGAACAGTCAGGTAACAGAGAGTAGCAATCTTTTGGGTTTGTTGAGTTTGTCCATTAATAAAACATTGTAAAGGCAAAGAATTCTGAGAAGAGGCCAAGGAGGAAATACTGAGTGAATTTGACCTGATTTGATGTATATGAAGTAGATCTAAGAAATTGCTCATTATTTTCTTCAGGGCCTGGTGAAGGTCCCTCTCTACAGTGAGAGTGTCTTTAGCTTTGGGTAAACTTGCAGTCTAAACAAATAAATGGTAATTAACAAGAGAAAAGATAGAAGTGCAAAAGCAGCAACTTGGGAGGGTCATTTTGAGGACAGTGGCAGAAATGAGAACAGGATCTAAGTCTCCTGTCATTATTTGCTGTCTTATAAGAGGGACCATTTTGCCTTGTTTTGGGTTTTTTTTTTTTAGGAGAACCTCTGTCTGTGTGTGCCTGTGATGCTGGGAACAGGTTTTGTATATGAAATGCTGTCTTATTTTCTCGGAAGGTAAATGTGAGCCTTTGCAAAATAGGTTTTCCTTCAGAGCTTTATCCTGGGTGTAGGGTCTCAGGATCAAAAGCTGTGCCTCAACCAGTTCTACTGTCAGGCAACTGAGGTGCTCTCTCACATTTTCCCTAGGATGCAGCTCAGAAATAAAGGCTTGATTCTGGTTCCCTTCTGTCTCTGCAGGCACATCTGCTGCCATGGTGAATGAGAAGCACAATGGCAACCTGCTTGTGCAGCTGGGACCCAAACTGCAGGCCTACCCGGAGAAGCTGCTCCGGCAGCGTCGAGGCCACAACGGCCGGCCTGAATACCTGATCCAGTGGAGTGTGATTAGCTTGGAAGAGAGAGCAGTGGGAGGCAGCAGTGCCTCCTGTGCAGAGACCAAGCCAGAGAACATCTCGATGTGGATGTCTGCAGAAGAGGTCTGTGCCAGCTGCCCAGCACTGCTGGGCAAGAGTAAGCTGGAAGGGCCGTGGGTGAAAGAGGAGAAGGCACCAAGTCCGTTGGCTGCAGATGTCCCGCTGGACGAAGCCTCGCTGCTGGAGATGAAGGCTGATGTCGGGAGCCTGGTGCAGCGAGCCATGCGGCAGTTGGCCGAGGCCGGGACGCCCAAGTGCTCCATCCTGAACACTGTGCACGTGCTGAGCGCCTACGCCGGCATTGGCTCTCTGGCGGGTGCCTTCAGGGAGACGGGAGCCCTGGACGTGCTGATGAAGATGCTGTGCCACCGGGAGAAGCAGATCCGCCACAGTGCCGGCAAGATGCTGCGGACCCTGGCTTTGCAGGATGCAGGTGGGGGCTGCTGCTGCTCAGTGCCTCTGTGGAGGTGCTGCTGGGCAGCTGAGGGGTGACAGTCCTTTTGTGGGGGTGAGATGCCTGGGAAGCAGCATGCCTTGGGGCTTGTTGGCAAAAGGGGAAGAATCAGTCTGGATCTTCCAAACTTCCTCAGTTGTAGTTGTCTGGAGTGCTGTAAGAGTTAAAAACCCCTGACAGGTTTCTGAGCTGGGATGCTAATTAATTGTTAGGAGTGTTAAAGAATATTAGGGGTGGCTGTCTCCTCCAGCAGTCCCAGCACCTCTCCTGCTCTGCCACTAGAGCCCAGCCTGAGGAGTCTGGGGTTCCTCAGCCTGAGGGGTGCAGCTGCCGCTTTCCTGTTTGCAGGTTCAACCAGTAGCAAAGCTATCCCAGAGCACAGACACATGCAGGACACTGACAAGGCTGGGCACGGACAGTGGTGCCGTCTTCAACAGCACGTACTTACGAGACTCACATAAACACAAGCACAGACAGCCATGTCCCCTCCTGCTCTTCGTCCAGCCGAGATAGAAGGTCGCTCCTGCCAGCACACACTGCACTTTCCAGGTTCACAATTACACACACATTCATGGATCCCTTGGGTTCCAGCACGGCCCCTCTGTCTGTCCTGCACCTGGGCCTGGATCCAAGCCCGCCTACCAGCCTCAGGAGTCCCCCTGCTCATCCATTTGTCAAGCTCGATGCTTGCTGACAAACATATAGCACTCAGACACTTGTTCCTCCCACAGTCCACATTTCACAAGTCCCTTGGGACTTCCAGCACAGACCACCACCTGCCTCATACCTTGGTCTGGACCCAGGACCTTCCTACTTTCCAGCTAATCCAGTGTGAAGTTTTGCTAACAAGTTAAATGCACACTCCGTGCCCAGCAGGATTGGGGAAGATAGAGATACTCGCCCTTTCCTGCTGGCACCAGGCACTGCAGTCCTGCTTCAGCTGCTGGTGGTGCTGACCTTCCAGTAGCTTGCCTCCCTTCCAGTAGCTGTATTTTGGGAGACACACTGTTCGGTCCCCAGTGGCTGATGGCCGAGGACCCTCCCTGCTCCAGTCACTAACACTGAGACCCTTGCACTTGCCCCAGTAGCTGGCACCTCAGACCAGGGACACCTACAAGTCTTGATCAGACTTGAGTAGCTTGTACTGAGCCCACTGTACGCCAGTCTTCCCAGTAGCTGGCTCCAGGCTCAAATCCGTGAGACCCTCCCCAGGTCCAGAGGGCAATGGCATTTCCAACTGTCAGTCTCTCCACTTGCTGACTCCACAGGGCTCCCACGCCCCCAGTTAGGCTCCAGTTCCTAGTACCGAATGCAATTCGCACAGGTCTCACCAGTAGCTGGCACAGAGTGCTTGCACTACACACACACACGAGGCAGAGAGAGTTAGAAAAGATTTAATAAGAGGACGTAAAAAAGTAGGACAAACTGTGTCAATGAAGTACAGGGCTGTCAAACAAGTGCACTGGCTAGCCATGCTTTAAACATGACTGGTGCCTTTTATATTCCTTTCCGTGCACCCTCTTTTGTGTTCCTTGCCAATTCCAATTACTCAGATAATCTTACTGAAAAATAATCATTCTTAAACTCCAGATATCCTTACTAATTATTGTGACTGACCAGATTTGTTTCTCCTCACTGCCTCCATTAGCATTTGTCAGTCACGTTTGTGATTCTTTATGTTATCATTTATGGCTTCCTTCTTTCACTTTTTGCAGTGAAAAGGTCCTTGACTAGATACACTTAGAGAAACAGACAGTCTCCTTCCGCATACCCTTGCAATGAAGACTGGTACCAAGGGGCTTGGCAGAAGCCTGGAGGATAGAGGCTGGTCCTCACCCAGTTCTCTCATTTAAGAGGAGCTGCCATGACTTGGAAGTGCCTGATGAGCCTTGGGTGCACCTGGAAGGTTGCTGGTTGTGGTGTATCCCACAAGAGATCTGGCTTTCCCTGTCCTAGTGTCTGAGTTCGTGCAGCTCTGAAGTGGGGCAGATGAGGGGCTGATTGAGGTTAAAACTTCTTTTCTTTCCTGGGGCCCTGATCTGTAGTCAGTTATTTGGGTTGCTGCTTTGGGTGAATCTTGCAGCTTTAGGGGTAGAAAAAATACATTGTGGAGCAAAATGTTGCCACTCCAGATGGAAGGATAGAACATGGTTCAGGTGACAGGGAGCAGCAAAGCTGTTCCTTGCCTGTGGATCTGTCTCTCGCAGGGAGGGTGGGGTACGGGTTGTCTTTATGGGGCCTGAAGAGTTTTTGTTGCTGTTGCAGAGAGCCGGGCCTATGTCCTGCTGTCCCTGAGCCAGCAGGATGGCATTGAGCAGCACATGGACTTTGACAGTCGCTGCACCTTGCTGGAGCTGTTTGCTGAGATAACATCCTCTGAAGAGCAGTGCATGTCCTTTGAGGGGATTCACCTTCCACAGGTAGTGGCAGGCCCTGCCAGCCCTGGGCCTGTGGGGCTTTAGGGGCCAGGAGGGGTGGGAGTGGAGGGCCAGGGTGGTGTCCTTGTTTGGGACAAGAAGGTAGTTGGAGTTGGGCAGCTGAGCAGGACTGGCTATTGGGAGAGCTGGCACAGGATCTGGGCCTGGCGTGAGGCTGGCAGTGGAGGAGGGGCACATGGAAGCCTTTCTGTGAGCAGGGAGACGAGGGTGGGCTGAGAAGTCTCTGCTGCTGCCAGCTGGTCCAGAACTCTCCTGGGATCCTGACTGTGGATGAGCTGGTGGCTTGGAGAGAGCTGGGAGCTGGAGGTGCTCTGCAGGCTGAGTCTGACAGCTGTGCTTGTTGCAGATCCCTGGGAAGCTGCTGTTTGTCCTGGTGAAGCACTACCTGTGTGTCACTTCTCTCCTGGACAAGATGAGCGGTGATGTGGAGCAGGGAGAGGAGCAGCAGGGGTGCGCTGTACCCAGCCTGCTCCCTGAGGAGAGGAGCCGTGTGAAGCAGGAGTTTGAGTTCAGCATGGCCATGGCAAACCTCATCTCGGAGCTGGTGCACGCGATGGGCTGGAACCACAACCACAAGCCAGAGCTGTCGCCCCGACAGGAGCTCCGGCCTCGCACCACCCGCTCCATCTTCCAGCAAAAGACTCCAGCCAGCACTGCTGTCCAAATGCCTGTACTCAGTTCAAACCATGGTCCCCACAAAAAGCAGGGCCGTACCTTCTTGACTCGGTCAGACTTCGCAGACAGCAGTGACTATGTGGAGTACTTACAGGCAAACCTGGTGCGTGGCATGAGGGTGCGCTTGCTGGAGGACTGTGGTGACGTTAGAGCTGGGGAGGAAGGCGAGTTTCTTCAGAGCACTAACAGCATGCACACAGTACAGGTATGTCATGGGCGGACATATTCTGGCTGGGGTGGCAGAGGGGAGTGACCAGAGGGACTGATGATTTCTAATGATGTCTTTATGTACAGGAAGTTGAACAATAGATGTATCATAATATATATCACTGTCTACATCTGTCCTAGCAAAAACCTCACTTTTCAGAGCTGGAGGTGTGGGTTGTGAGGAAAGCTAGTCTGGTTTAGTACAGGTTGTGCTGCTAAGATTTCTTGGTTTCTGAAACAGGTGGCTATATCCTGGGTCCTGGGAGCAGTCCTTAGTGCTGGTTTGATCTTGAGGGTGATTTAGGAACAGGCTAGCTGACACAAATGAGTAGCACAGCAAAAGGTACGTGAAGAATTTAAGCCTTAGTATGTGAATTACAATGTTTATGGCACATTGTTGTTCTCAGTGGGTTGAACACAGCCTACATAGTTGTTGCTTTTGATCTGTGAGTATGTGTTGGGATCTTTTTCCCTTTAAAAATGCCCTTTAGGTGAGTAGACCTCAGCTGAGAGCTTCTGTTGAAAAGAGCTGTGTATTTGCTAAGTTTGTGCCAGAGGTCAGGAAAAGGCTTCAATATTTTAAGAGGGGGAGGAATCATAGAGCAGTTTGGGTTGAAAGGAACCTTTAAAGGCCATCTAGTCCAGCCCTCTGAAATAAGCAGGGACATCTTCATCTAGACCAGATTGCTGAGAGCCCCATCCAACTTGACCTCAAACGTTTCCAGGGATGGGGCATCTACATCTTTTCTGAGCAACCTGTTCTGGTGTTTCATGACCCTCATTGTAAAGAACAACTTTATGTCCAATCTAAATCACCCCTCTTTCAGTTTAAAACCATTATGCCTTGTCCTGTTGCAACAGGCATTACTAAAAAGTCTCTCCTCAACTTTCTTACAAGCCCCCTTTAAGTATTGGAAGGCCACTGTAAGGTTTCCCTTGAGCCTTCTCTTCTCCAGGATGAACAACCTCAGCTCTCTCAGTGTTTCCTCATAGGAGAGGTGTTCCATCCCTCTTATTGTTTTTGTGATCCTCCTCTGGACCTGCTCCAACAGGTCCATCCCTTGTACTGAGGAATCCAGAGCTGGATGCAGTGCTCCAGGTGGGGTCTCATCAGAGGAGAGTAGAGAGGCAGAGTCGCCTCCCTCAACCTGCTGGACATGCTGCATTTGATGCAGCCCAGGGTGTCATCGGCTTTCTGGGCTGTGAGTGCACATTGCTGGGTCATGTCCAGCTTTTCATCCACCATTCTGCTAAGTCCTTCATAGGGCTGCTTTCAATCCCTTCGTCCTCCAGCCTGGATTGGTACTAGGGTTTGTCCCAACCCAGGTGCAGGTCCTTGCACTTGGCCCTGTTGAACCTCATGAGGTTCCTCTGGGCTGACTTCTCGAGTTCATCCGGGTCCCTCTGGATGCCATCCCTTCCCTCAGGCCTGTCAACTGCACTGCTCAGCTTGGTGTTGTCAAAAAACTTTCTGACAGTGCAATTGATCCCACTGTCATTGATGAAGATATTGAACAGTATTGGTCCCAATACAGATCACTGAGGGATACCACTTGTTATTGATCTCTATCTGGTCATGGAGCTGTTGACTTGTGGATATGACCATTCAACGAATTCTTCATCATGTATTGAATCCATATCTCTCCAAATTAAAGAAAAGAATGTTGTGGGATCCATGTCAGAGGCCTTACACAAGTCCAGAGAGGTGACAGTGGTAGCTCTTCCCTTGTCTACTGATGGAGTCACTCCCTCATAGACAGCCACCAGGTTGGCCAGGCAAAACTTGTCCTTGGTAAAGCCTTGCTCGTTGTCTTGAATCACCTCCCTATCTTCCATGTGCCTTAGTGAAAGATTTTTCTTGTTTTGGACTGTGAATAGGTGATGTTTCATTTTGGGCCCCCTCAAGTGAATAACTGCTTTGCATCTTACTTTTCAGTGGTTTATAAATCTCTTTTCTATTATAATCCAGTCCATAAATGTCGCAACGAGGGAAGAAAGAGACGCTCAATATGAGAATCAGCAAGCTTCGTTTATTGATCATTGCTAATAGCTTATTATATGCTTTATAATTAGCTCATACATATTGCAAAAGCTAA